GGGCAGATCAAGTCCGCACTCCAGTCTTAGCAACCTTTCTCTCGGCTCTCTTGCCAATTCTCCAGACCCAGATTAAGGAGAAAGTGGCAGGATGGCAAGCACAGGCTAGTGTTCAAACCTTAGCCGCTGCTACTCGGTTTGGGGATAATCCAGCGGACAAAGGAGAGATTAAAGGCTGCTGTGTTGGCTTCACTAAAGGGAATAATACCAACTCTGGCCAACCTATAAAGAGAGCAAAGGAAGAAGAGAAAACTACATATCGTCTTTGCAGAACACCAAGCCGTGGAAGGACCGTGAAGAGAGACGGGAACATGAGGAGGTTGCAGAGGCTGGCGAATCAGGAAGGTCTAGCAGGAAGAAAACCTTTGCTGGGAAATATTTGGCAAATGGCTCAGAGTGAACAGATTGAGGGACTCAGAGGTGGAATGTGGGGAACCAAATATGTTGATACATTTTATTCAGGTTCATTTTTTCTCGCCTTTTCCGGTAGAGAGGGGTGCTACTTATCATGCGGTTTCCTCAGAAATTCCTTGCTTTCCATGTGACAAAAGATACTACAAGCTGTTGGTACTTTGGGTCAGCTCTCTTGTTCCTTTTCCTCTGTGATTCCCATACAGGCAGTTGCCCTCGCTGAGGAGCCACATGTGCTTTACTTTCCCCTAATCCTCCTGTAAACCTGTTTGGTAGAGACCTGCTGTACCAGTTGAAGGCCGTTATATTCTGTCCACACCCTGGACAGAGTGTTCATGGAGCTCCCTAAAACAGAAAGAAACACTTGGATTATTTGCTCTGTGCCCTCTGGAAGAAAAGGGGGATGGCAGAGTGGCAACCTCAAACCATGCTGGAAAAGCACTGCGGAACAAATCGAGGCACCGCTTTGGGCCGAAGGAATTAATTTAACTCAAGATCAAGTCAAGCACGATGTAGTGACTAAACAACAGCCACAAGGTTGTCAGCCGAGGCCAAAAAGTGTCACAGTCTGAGAGTCAGCCAAATTTGTATATAAAACAGCCTGCTACAAAAAACATAGTATGGGGGACTAGGTGCTATCAGTAATGGATCCCAGCTTTTGCCAAATGTGCATAACCTCTGACAGAGCAATTCCATAGCTCTCTAGACCCCCTCGTCTGCTGCTTAGAATCTAAGAGGTTTTGCAGTACTGAAATTGGCTATAGCCTCTCCCTCAGCTTTGGGGATTCCAGATTTTGAAAAATAAAAATAAAAGAAACCTTCCCACTTGTTTGATGATGAACTACTACTTAGGAAAGTATTAACCCCCAACTGGGACTAGGCCATAGACGCATAGCTTATTTTTCAGACTTTCTTGCTGTTGGAGTACTGGGTGCCTGGGTGCCTCAGAGCAGGGGAAGGGGCCACAGCCACTGTTATTGAAAAGGCCCCGTCTCTTACCTTGGGTCATTTGACTTATGTGCATGCCCATCTGCTATGACAGCGATCTTACAAGTGCATAAGCCCAGCATGTGTCAGCGTGCCTTCAAGCCAACTATGAGCAGGCATTGGTATCCAGTCCTAATACTGTGCTTGGGAGGTGCAGTCTCCTAAACTGCTACCCTCTTGTAAGATCCTGATCAAGTCGATGATTGTGATTATTCAATAGTAATAAAAGAAGATATTAGGCCTCGATGTGACTTACCAGATGTCTCAGATCAAAAAGCAGATTTGATAATGTTTGCTGATGGGTCGTGTACCCAGAGTAAGAATGGCCAACTTTAAGGCTTCCTATGCTGTCGTTACTTCTCATGAAATCTTGGAGGCATATATTCTATCTAAAATTAAATTGGCACAAGCTGCTGAGTTAATGGTTACTAGAGCTGCAATTTTTGGTTCTGGACTTACAATGAAAAATATGTATTTGTAGTAAATATGTGTTTGGTGTCTGTCATGCAAAATTTTTTTAAAAATAGAGGACTTTTGACTTCAACGAGAATGGAAAAAATCTCGTGTCAGATTGAAAGCTGATCTGTTAAGCGCCTTACAACTGCCAGTTCACATATCAGCGATTCATTTTGCTGACAGAACTGCAAAAGCTGCTGTCAAAACATGGCAGAGCTCCACTTTCAAGACAACAAGAAATGTTTGTTCATTTTTTAAAAAAAACTTTTTATTGTGGTAAAAGTCACATAATATAAAGCATACTATTTAACCATATCTAACTGTACAGTTCAGTGGCACTAAGGACATTCACATCGTTGTGCAATTCTCACCATCATTTGTCTCCCAAATCTTTCACCTTCCTGAACAGAAACTGTGTCCCCAGTAAGCACTCACTCCCCATCACCTCTCCCTACCAGCCCCCCGCCCCAGCCCCAGGGCCTCTGGCAACTACCACTGTACTTTCTGACTCTGAGTTTGACTATTCTAAGCACCTCACATAAGTGGAATCAAACATTATCTGTCTGGACCAATGTATATTAGAATGCATTTTTAAGGTTAATTTAATATATGTCCCGTAAACAGATTATACCTTTTTTCATCCTATGCTATACAGTAGTTATTTATTTTATACATAGAAGTACATATATGTCAGTCCCAGTCTCCCAGTTTATCCCTCCCCCCTCTCCCCACCCCAGGTATTCATATGTTTGTTCTCTATGTCTGAATCTCTAATTCTGCTTTGCAAATAGGTTCATCTGTACCATTTTTCTAGATTCCACATAAATGCATTAATATACAATATTTGTTTTTCTCTTTCTGACCTACTTCACTCTGTATGGCAGTCTCTAGGTCCATCCATACCTCTGCAAATGGCACATTTTTGATCTTTTCTATGGCTGAGTTATATTCCATCGTATATATGTACCACATCTTCTTAACCCACTCCTCTGTTGGTGGAATTTGGGTTGCTTCCATGTCTTGGCTATTGTAAACAGTGCTGCAATGAATACTGGAGTGCATGTATCCTTTTAGGACATGTTTTTCTCTGGGTATATGTTTAGGAGTAAGATTGCTAGGTCATATTGTAGTTCTATTTTTAGTTTTTTAAGGAACCTCCAGACTGGTCTCCATAGTGGCTGTATCAATTTACATTCCTATCAACAGTAATGCCATGCTTTGCAAAAGAAAGTGGACCATGAAAATTACCTAACACAAACTAGTGCCTTTTTGCTTGGTTGATGTTGTGTCATCAACAAAGTCACCTGAATAAAAGAAGGATTTAAATACACTAAGCTCATACTACACTTCCCAAAAAGGTAAAATAATTCAAAACATTGTAAAGAAGAGATGCGTTATTTGTCAACAGAATTCTTTACAAGTCATTCTGAAAGCAAGCTCAGAAAGTTCTCCCTGGCCAGCATTACCAGGAAGCTGGAAGCCTTTGGATTTCATAGAAGTAATGCTGAGGAAAGATGGGTAGATTGTGTCTACTTACATTGTGTACCAGGTTTGGGTGGCCTGAGGTCATCTCCTTTCCAAAAGCTGATGCCCAAGCAGTGGCAGAGGCTCTCTTACTACACTGAATCAGAGAAAGGCACTTTGTTTCTACTGTTGTCCAGGAATTATGCAATGTTTACAGAGTCCCACAAGCCCCAGTCCTCTGGGCAAGGAGAACAAGTGAATCAAACTTTGTGTGCGTGCTAAGTCACTTCAGTCGTGTCCAACTCTTTGCGACCCTATGGACGGACTGTAACCCGCCAGGCTCCTCTGTCCATGGGGATTCTCCAGGCAAGAATACTGGGGTGGGTTGTCACACCCTCCTCCAGGGGATCTTCCTGACCCAGGGATCGAACCCATGTCTCTTATGTCTTCTTGCCTTGGCAGGTGGGTTCTTTACCACCATGCCTTGAATAAGGTTCAGCATCTGGCGGGTTAACACTGGCCTAGAGCTTTATCACTAGTCTTGTTAGAAATTAGAATGGCCCCTGCAAGCAGGCATGGACTGTCTTCTTTTGAACTTATGTTTGTCAGGCCTATGAATTAGGGTCTGAGGCCATGTTGTGTGTCCAATTAAATGGAATCCATCCATATGTTCAATACTTAAAACTGTGTTCAAGACTTGTCTTTTTCCAGAAACCTTGAGAGTTAAAGTCACAAACATCTGGAAGGATCTCCCAGAGGAAGTCGACCACCCCTGTCAACTGGGAGACTTCATCTATGTCTACAAGAGAAAGATGGTCCTCATTGAGTGGGAAGGGATGCTTTCTGCTGCTGTCCACCCATATGCCACCAAAGTGAAGGACATGCTTCCCATGTGAAGCTAGTACCATGGGAGACTGGATCGTGGGTCCTTCAAAGGACCTAACACTTAACTTTTCCAGAGGAAGCAACTGGCATTGACCTTAACTGTAAAGAAATATTCTGGAAAATGTATTACTACTCTCCCAGGCTGCCTACCTGTCCTATTCATAGCCATGATTATTCCACTTTGAAAATCACGTTTATGAGAAAACAAACAATATTGTTTGTCACCCTACTCTCGCTGTACTCCCAGTAATGGTCCCACAACCAAATGTTTCATGTCAGCTCTATATTGTGTTCTCAGTATGGATATGGGCTGGACTTTAGTCCAGCAACCCAATTATTAGCAGAATACAATTAGGACCATCTTCACTAGAGGTTTTGATGATAACAAAGTGAAAATAATTAATATGTACCCAGGTGCTCAAGCTCTAAATTTGACACACAAAAAACATTAACTGCTTTGTTTAGAAAGATAATGTGGGAAAGAGGAGCATCTAATTAATAGACAAACAGAAAGACTGCAAAAGACTGGTCTGATGTCACCAGGTTAACACTGGGTTACTCTGTATATGTCATACTGATTATTTAGATTCATACTTATGTTAAATTGTAATTCTGATAATTGCTTTGTGCCTCTTTTACTATGAACTTACTGGATATGTAGACAACTGTAAGCTGCCCAGAGAAAGATAGATACCACAAAGGAAATAATTAGAAGATTATAAGGTTATTATGTTGTAGTAACACAGGGAGGAGATTGTGAGGACAAACATAAATTAAAATGAGGCTTGCTTAAGTCTTCATGTTGAAACTAAGGGAAAAGACAGCTCCCTTTTTCTTTCAAAACTTAGTTCTGTCCTTTTCAAATGTGTTGAAATCTTCATAATGGCTAAATAAGCCTCTTGCCAGTGTCCCAATTCAGAAATGTTTTCTCCTGGACCTGGGACTTCCTGGAAGACATTTTTTGAAACACAAACATCCAGGGAGCCAGCTCCCCCATCTCCCACTTTGTGTCGGAGGGTAATAGACTTTTGTGGGCACCATGTTCCGGTTTGCAAAACTACCTTTTGTTCTAACGATATGAGAAGTTTGTTGTGCCTCCGGATCAAGTCAATCCAAGTGGCCTCCCTAGTTACCAAGATAAAGTCAGGAGAAACCATGCATGATAGAGGTGTTGTCAAGTCCTCTCCCTTGAAGACTAGTGATTGATCACCTTGGGAACATGCATGTAATGGCCTGTGTCTGCTTGGCTAGATAAGGGGGAGATTCTTTCTGTCTCTGCAATCTCTTAGTGGATTGCCTGTGGTGCACATCGTATTCTGGCTTCATGCTCATTCAGTCATCACAGGGGTTTCTTTCTCTACTCCCTTTGTGGAGAGGATATCTGAGTTGGCACATACTGTGTTTTTTAATTTTTGCTGTTGCACTGGGTCTTTGTTGCTGTCTGCAGGCTTTCTCTAGTTGCCACGAGAGAGGGCTACTCTTCATTGCGGTGCTTGGCTTTCTCATGGCAGTGGCCTCATTGCAGAGCACAGGCTCCAGGCACAGGCTTCAGTAGTTGTGGCAGATAGGCTCAGCAGTTGTGGCACATGGACTTAGTTGCTCAGTGGCAGGTGGGATCTTCTCAGTCCAAGGATCGAACCCGTGTCCCCTGCATTGGCAGATGGGTTCTTATCCAGTACACCATCAGGAAAATACAGGGCATCTTGTTTTTAATTATACTATATTGTGTTGTAATTCTATTTCTCCAACACTCGCCAAAAGCATCACCAAACGTTACTGGTGGTATCACTGTATTCTTACATTTTCTTGCAGAAAAGGTATGAATTCCCCTCCAAATAGCCCTATGGTGGTGTGGCTTTAACAACCACCAACCCCACCACCTCCCAGCCTTCAGGTGACTTTAAAGCAAGGGCCTCCCTCAGCTTTGAGAAGAGTGCTGGGCTGTTGCCATTATTCGCTTTCTCTCTCTGTATGTTCAGATTCTGTTAAGCTGGACTTGAAGAGACTTGTCCAGCTCCTCCCACCAGCCTTGAGTGTGAGGCATGTATCTTTCCTGCAGCAGGACCAGATCCCCCAAGACTCGACAGGGATCAGGCTTCCCACGCCTCCCCCTCACACTGCTGCCGCCCCAGTGTCCTTTGCCTTCCACCAAGCTGAGTTTCCATAGAACTGTAATGGCTCCGACTGCAGTGAAACTCTATATGTGTGTGTCCCCTTCCTTCCCTCATTTAGGGACTTTTCTTCAAAAGGTTAGGCTAGGGACTACAGGAAAGGGTCATGACCTTAATCATCCCCTCATTAGTGATCTTTGCCCTGTCTGTCCCAGTTTGTTCAAAGATACTTGCTTTCTTACCATTTTTATTTTTTATTTTGGCTGCACTGCACATGGGATCTTAATTCCCCAACCAGGGACTGAACCTGTGTTCTTTGCAGTGGAAGCATGAAGTCTTAACCACAAGTCTGCCAAGGAATTTCCCACTGGCTTTCTTAGCTTGATTTTCAAAGCCCTCATAAAATGAGCCAGCCCTACCTTTCTGCCTGATTCTCCTTCCTCCCCTGGCCCTGACATTTAAGCTTCTAGCACCCAGCAGTGACACATAAGGGGCATGCAGATATTTGTTGAATAAATAAACAGTTGCTAGCCTCCATATTTACCACCCTCGAACCTCCCATTACTCAGCCTGCTCACAAGCTAAGCCCTCTGCCAGGAATGCCCTTTCCCTGTGGAAACCTTCCATGACTTCCCAGTCCCCTCTCCCTGCCCCTGCCCCCACCACCCCCCACCCCACCCCATCCACCAAGCAAACGAACCTCTGACCCGTGCATCCCCAGTGCTCTGTGATGGGTGCCACGCTGGTGTCGCTAGCCTGGATCTGTGATTTAAGTAGGCACACGTGTCCCCACCACACGGGGAGCGTCACAAGGGCTCCACCTGCCGCTGATTTCCTCTTAAATCTCCGTCTGCCTGTGTGTAGCAGACGATGGGGGCGTGTTTGAACTGAAGAGCGGAATCCGCCCCTTTTGCAGGAGAGGAACAGGCAGAGTCCTCTGAGTCCTCAGCATCTCGTCCTCACCCCCCTCTCTCCTCTGGCCCTGCCGCAGCTATGCTTCAGACGAAGGGAAACGAGAGACCACAGCGTCACAGCACCGAGGCACATGTGTTTGCAGGCTGGGCTTGTTTATAGACCAGAGGAGCCTGACGATTCTGCCGCCGTTTTCCTCTCTTTAGCCACACGGTGCAAGGCAGCCAGGCAGCCCTCCCACCTTCAGGGTCCCCAGACAAGCAGGGAGGCCGTGGACAAGCTCCACCTGTGGTGCTGACCTCTCTGGCTGAGTCTTGGGCACCCGAGATGCTTGTGAGGCTGCGGGGGCTCTGCAGAGCCTGAGGTTCATCTGGAGGGCGCGGGCACATGTACCTCACCTGGCCAGTCACCACATCCCAGCCCTCCTGGATTCAGAACAGGACCAACTCAATAGCAGGTGTTCTGTAAAATGTGTGGAAGAAATAGTTGCTTCCAAGATAGGTTTTTCCTGTCCAGAACCCCACCTGTTCTGTTCTCACAGGTACCTGCACGCTTCAACCAAGTTTTGTCCTGTCGCCACCTGGCCTGTCAGCATCATCCTCTTTATGTCACGTCCTCCTTGGGAAGCCAGTTTCCATAAAGGAAGAGATGGAAGGCATCAGTGTCTGATTCCACCACAGTCGGGGAGGCACCCCCACTGAGAAACACCCCCAGTCTTCCTGCCGTTATTTCACACGGTCAGTAGAGCGCTCCCTACAGGCAGGCGCTGTATTTAGAGTTTTGTTCTGTTTTCTGCCCCAGCACCTACTATGGTCCTTGCCACCCAAGACAACTTTGCAACCGGGAACTAAGTCTCCTCGTACCCACACATCGAAAGATGTGTTTCTGCCAGATTGATGGAGTCGCAAAGACTCACCACTCTCTCGTCTCTCACCCGCTTGTAGCACAAATGTGGCATGCTCAGGAGGGTCCCAACCAGCCACCAAAGGAACCACTTACTCCTCACCACACACACACACACACACACACACACACACGCACGCACTCTTTCCTCCTAGTTATTTTCTCAGAACACCTTTCACCTATTGAGATGGTCAAATAAGATCTTCAAGGTCAGCTAGTCCATTTCGCAGATAAAACCCAGACAGGTTAATGTGCATTTGCCCCCAGATAACACCTGGTTGCTGGCAGAGGAGGGAGAAGATGAAAACCTGCCTGCCAAGAGGGTCTCCTTCCTCCACACCCTGAGACCCCCGTGGTGGCCTCCCTCAGCTTCCTGGAAGGAGAACTGTGAAGTAGTTCACGTCTGGTGAGGGCATCCTCGGACAGCCCAGCAGGATGAAGTGGGAAGCACGTGGCCTCCTCTCTCCCCAATCCTCAGCCCTCTATCTACCTAGAGATCTCAGGACTTCTGCGATGGTGATGGTGGGGAGAAGGAGGTTAGACAGCGTGCTCGGGACCCAGCTGGCCACACTCTCATGCAGCCAGTCCTTTTGGCTGCAGCTTACCCTGCTCACTGGGCTTCCGCGGTGGCTCAGTAGTAAAGAGTCCACCTGCAGTGCAGGAGATGCAGAAGATGTGGGTTTGATCCCTGGGTCGGGAAGATCCCCTGGAGAAGAAGTGCTACCCCCTCCAATATTCTTGCCTGGGAAATCCCATGGACAGAGGAGCCTGGCAGGCTACAGTCCATGGGGTCATACAGAGTCAGACACAACTGAAGCAAATGAGCATGCATGCATGCGTACCCTGCTCACTAGCCTTTTTTTTTTTTTTCAAGTGGGTAGAGAGAGAATTTCTGAGTTCAAGTTTGAAGTGGGAGAATTACTGACCTGATTAAAAACTAACCACCGTGTCCTTGTTCAGGCCACCAACCAAACTGTGGTTTGATTCCCCTTGAGCCAACTGCCCACGCCGCTTCAGTCACCTGTGGTTGGGTGAGGGTGAGAATGGAGATGAGCCATCAGTGGCCCTGACTGCCCAGCGGCCTGTTCGACGGGGACTTGTTTGCTTTCCTTTCCTTCTTCCGGCAGAAAAGGCAGAGGGCAGATTCCAGCCCAGACCTGCCCACGCCCTCTGGGTCCTAGGCCCGCTCCTTACCACGTCTGCTCCCAGCCTCCTTCCTGCCTTAGAGATGAGGATGAGGGGCTTGGAGCACCTGCCTGGCCAGGATCTCTGTGAATAGAGCTTGTATTTGGGTCTTCAAAGCAGAGAAAGAGGCATCTGAAAGCACAAACCACTCCTGGCTCAGACGATTAATATTCATTTAGGTCTGGCTAAATTTGCAGTTCCCAGGGTGTCTGGGAGCAGCATAGTTTACATGCCTTGGACACAGACCCATCGTTAGGGCCATTACATCCAGGAATGCATGACTGCCTTGGAGAACCATCAGTGTTTCTGGCTCTTGGTAGGAGGCTAGAAGCCAGTCTGGGAGAAGTCCAGTTCTCTCCGCATCTCGGGGCTCCCTGCAACCCACTTCCCACCTTTCACCAGAGCCCTGAGCAGGTTTCTGGGGACTCACCTGGAGCCCCTCTGCTTGTAATCCCAGCACTTCTAATCACCGCCCTCTTGATCCACCCCTCCCCATATGCCCACAGTCTCACATCACAGGGGACTCGGACTCTTCCCTGGACAAAGCCTGTGACTTACAGCCTCTCCCCATATGCCCTGGAGCTCCTTCCCTCTGTCTGGCCTCGAAAATGTATTAGAGCAAGAGGGGTGGATGTGACGTTATTACACAGAGCAGCCCAAGTGGACTCTAATGTCTCAGTATGTGTATGTCTGAACTAATTCATCATTTTTAAAACCTCATTGCTAACTTAGGTTCTGAAACCTTTTTTCGTAGCTGCTCATTTGTGACACAATAGGCAAACCTGACACCTCACAACTTGGTTGAGAAAGATGTGTAAAGGATTTCTGTGCCTGGAGGGGCAGACAAGATGTTGCAGGACTGCATTAAGATGTTTGAGCCCTTGGGACTTCCCTGGTGGTCCAGTGGTTAAGAATCTGTGCTTTCACTACAGTGGGTACGGGTTCAATTCCTGGTCTAGGAGCTAAGATCCTGCGTTTCAAGGTGTAGCTACAAAAAATAAAAACTCTGAGCCTCTAAGAGTCTTTCTTCCTGTATTCCTCCAGCT